TGTAGGCACCTTCCTACAGAGCAAGAGATGATGTGGGTCATTCCTGGGAAACATCTATGTCTCACTGTTGTCCTGTACAGTCTCAGTGCTTAACCTATTGCTTCAGATCACCCTCCTGGGTCAGACGCTTACATTTTATTGCAGCCCCTAAAGAAGGTGAGCTAGGATCTGAGCCTGAACTCCTTAGGGTCAACATTGCTCTCTCACTATGCGTGTATATGCAGCACCTAACACAACGGGGCCCTGATCTCAGCTGGAGTATGATGGATAACAGTAATACAATGTAATTTTCAGATCAGCAGTGACTAGGTGGAGAGGGTAGGGACAAGAACTTAAAAAGAAGGATTGCTTTTGAGATGCAAGAGGTTTAGGCAAGATCCCCTCCCCACCCCCAAGCATCTAGAGTCTGCTCAGAACACCCAGCTGGGCTTGGCCATTTTAGGTTAGACACAATTATTTTGCTAGTTACTCTGGCACAGTTTCAATAAATAGGAAAATAATGGGCTATAACAAACTAATTGAAAAGGCAAACAATGGAAATAAAGAAGTTAAATGTGAAAACTTGAACAAGCACCACTCTAGCTTCCTTAACTGCTTCAAATGCCAACACTGCACGATGACAGTGTAGAAATAGGGTTACGTTGTCTTGCCTTTTAACAGAATATTTCAACAAGATTCAAACAAAAGAATATCTACTGTTTTTACACCTAATCAGCTGTAATGAAAGAATATGAAGAGCTGTCATGTGCTTATTAGGGAGAATTATCAGATATTCTTTTATATGATGAACTAACACACTGTGCTGATAATTCTGTAGTGCACACTAAATTACAATTAAAGGCCTTTATGCTCCACCAAAATCTCATTTATAATCTCTATGGAAATATTCTTCCCGCAGTTATTTCATTTATGCTTCCTTTATCTAATTACAGTAATATTGGTTCTGAATCATATTTTCTTAATGTCCCCATATTCAATTATAAAGTTATTTCAAGTACAGTTACTTTGCAATATCAACTATATTGCTCTGGAGTCTTTGTCATTCACCGGACTACTTAATTGGTGATGTTTTTTGGAAGGGTTTCCTTTAGATTTTAAATCAGCCCTTTTTATAACCATAATGCATCCAATTACTCCTTTTCTTGTAACAGCAAAAGCAGAATATATGCCTTGATTATTGCAACCTTTTAATTAGATTTATTCCCTTCCTCCACCATCACCATTTTTCTGTAGATAATCACTGAAAAGTGTTCAGCAAAAGAGAAATTATAATAGAGAACATTCTAGGTTGTTCAATGTTTTTCCTGCCCCCACAGCTCTGTAAATTGTCTTTTTCTACAAATTTCTTGTACTCATGTTTCCTTTCATCTTCCTTTCCTTTTACTGTGCTGCCTATTCATTTATTTTCATCTCTCGTTTTAATCTTCTTAGTCCTTCAAGTATGTCATACGTGCCCTCAGAAGGAGCATTTCTTTAAAGGAATATTTCTGCTACAGTGGGATGTGTACAGTCTTCTATCCAACAGAACCTGTTTGTAAGACTGAATTGCATAAGGATCTAAGTGCCCTTGATTCATATTGGGACTTCACTTTATTCAGGACTGGGCCTAAAATACACTTAGTTATATTAAAATCTAAACTTCCCTCTGTGCCTTTCAGGAGATGGTTCGTCCTAAGGCCATTGCAGAAATGCAAAGCCCTGACCTCACTGCACAGCCTCATATGGCTTGCTCAAATCACTCCCACATGCAGGAGCAGTAACTACATACCTGATACTCCCACCACAAGTTTTATAGGCTGAAATCTGAGAAGATTATAACTCCCCCTTCATTATAACTCCCCCTCCCCTTCCTTTGCTCTGGGTGAACAGATTAGGAGAAAAAAGAGACTTCACTATGCTGGTAGTATCCCTGCTGCTATTATTCCTCACAATTGTAGATGGGGCGGAGAGGGGGAAAGAATCCCCACCACCACATCCCAGGCAAAGTTGAGAGGACTTTACTACATGGTTAATATTTGTAGAGCAGTGGTGCACACAGACCTCTGCACCATGGTGGGCTGCCAGGCCAGAATCAATGCTTTGTAATCACATGAGGCCCCGAGCACCTTCATGATGTTTTCAATTAAATGTTAGCTGGTGAGGATGCATGGCGGTTCATGAGAAACTCTGAGGGTTGACAGTGATCCTTTGCTTCAGAGGCAATAAAGATAGAGACAGTGTGGGAGGGACAAGCTTTGGGGGGCTATGCTGAAACCTCACTGCAGGATGGATTCAGATACCTTAGAGGACTGCTAACTATGGCACAGGTGGTTAGGGCTAGAAGATTCCCTGCTGCTTTGTTCTTGTGATCCTCCACCTTGTAGGCTGGACTCATAAAGGGCATGGAGAACTCTCTCTCAACTTCACTATTATTTTCTTATTGTATTATGGCAGAGCCAAGGAGCCCTGATGGGCCACAGTCAGGTTGTCCCAGGCTAGGAACAAACACAGAGCCAGGAGATAGTCCTTTCAGCCAACAAAGTGCAATAGTCTCCTATGGAGGAGCTCTGGTTGTGTCCTGGAGCCTGAAAGACTGAAAGGCATCGCCCGCCCCCCCCCATGTTCAGGCTTGGGCTTGGACTCTGGATGCAGTTTATGGTTGGGTAAATGACACTTCCTCATGACTTACAGCATCATAAACTCAGCTTTTCATTTGTATTAAGTGGGGACCCTTATACTGCTTTTAATTATGCCTATTTAATATATAAAAGCTTTCATTCATTTAAAATAATACATTTGGGGCTTTTTTTCTTTAGAAAATAGCTTAAATACCCATTTTTTACATTATACATAACAAAGTTCTTGCATTGCATTGGGTCACTTATTAAAAATGTGATTCGTAAGTCTGTAAATAACAGACAGTTTCATAAAGATGTAACTATCATAACAACTCCCCTTTTCCCAGTTGGAAATGTAAGATGAGCTATTCAGAAGCATCTAATGTATGAATAATGTGTATTTGTTTTACAAGAAGCTTTACAGCTGCAATGTTCCAAGAATGCTTAAATTCAATAAACAGCCATTATAATTCACAGAACAGTGGCATTTCCTCTACAGGAAAGCGTAACCTATCAATTTTGATTTTTCAAAACCAGTAAAAAACTGCTTTCAGGTATATTCCCCCAAAGTGAGATTTAACCACCATTTCTACCTCTCTGTTGTTTGTTTCTGTAATGTTCTTACTTGGCTGCATATTGCCTGTTCCATTTTTATATTAAAATTTGATGGGGAAATATTCAATACATATTATTTGGATGTACATTTTTTACTTAAGTTACAAAGAGTAAGTGTTATTTGGCATGTAAAATCATATTACAACTGATAAGACAAGCACATTTAATGGGTGCAATGTTCCCTTTGATTTGATCTGAAGCTGATAAATACAAACTACATTGTCCTTCAGCTGTAGAAATTGCCTTCAAATGTACCTGTGTAGGTTTTCTCACCTGTCTTTGCCAGTTTCCTGCTTGAAAAGGTCATCAAACTGAAGCATCTTGTGCCGAGAAATCATATATACTTTTAACTGAGGTAGTATTTGGTTCATCAGTTGCAGATTATTGTAAACCAAACCTTTTCCATCTCTCCTCATGTAGCTGCTGGGACCCCAGAAGATAAACACAGTACCTTGGCTCATATTTAACAGTTCATTGCGATTTCGTAGAATTCTCTGGATGCTAGAGTGCGCAATGACTCGAAGGCTAGTTTTGTTTCCAACATCTTTTCCATAACCTCGAGTGGGCGCATCATTCATTCGTATGACACACTCAGTCTGGTCAATTCTGTTGCCCTGTTTGCTTCCCAGGAGGTGTCCAGAACTGGTTACTAATGCACAACTCTTGCAATGCATTTTTAAAGGCTGCAAAAGACACACATAATTTCAAATCAATTACAGTTTCCATTTCCTAGAAAATGAACAAACTAATACTAATACTTTTGAGTGTAGAGATCATAAAACACTCTAGAAATACCTCTCTCAGCTGTCCTGCCAGGTATCTAAACCCAGTTTATATACCCATTTGACAGATAGGGAGCTGAGGCACTGCCTGGTTACATGCTAGATCTACAAAGGGACTTGACTGCTTATTATAGCAGGCCTCTAAGTCCAAAATGTCAGTGCTCTGCTCAGTTACTGCTTAACTCTGGAAGTGCCTGAAGTCTGTAGGCACCAAAGTGTCCGACCATAAATTTCCTTACGTGCCTCAAGTTCCTCTCAGCCTCTCTACTGCCTACAGGGCTCAGTCTGGTAGGTGTTCCCAGGACCTTCCTAATGGCTCCGGCTCTGCACAGAAGATGGGGTTGGGGTGGGGGTGTAAGGACTGGAATCCAGGCTCCTCGCCTGGAATGTAGTAACCATTAAACTACAGAATCCTGCACAATCTCTCTCCTCCTCCCTGGCCCAATTAATATTCCTTGTCTTCAGTGCATACAGTTATTCACAAACTGAGAATTAGTGCTTTGAACTTTCTCTAGATTGTTTTTCAAACAAGTCATCTTCAAAAGATATACAGTAAAAAAGAGAAATGAAATGTCCATATAATGTGTGCTAATAAGGCAAGATAAGAGAAAAAGGGAAACAAACTTAGATGAAAATTAAAAATACCTTCTAAATCAGATTAAGAGACACTTCTGCCATTAGTAGAGGTACGTAAATATATTTTAGCCCTTTGATTAACATGAGATAAAGAGGAGAAATACAGAAAGCTCATGATAATGGAATACATGGCATCTACCAGGATGCAGCAAGTTCCTATTTGTGGTACAGTGAACCAAGAGGTAAAGACTGTTTCATGATGTGGCCTTGAAGTGGATTTTAGAGAACAATGACGCCTTGCAATATCACTCACATTTTAAAGAACAGTTCTAAATTATCTCTCTTCTGTGTGTATCTCCTTCAACTTACTATGCTACTTTTGGTCCTTTGTTTCTAAGACTTCTGGAAGACATTACACTTAAGACAACCAGTTAATTGCAACTTACATAGCAACCTGGCCCCATGTTCAGGCAATTAGTGGTGTGATAAAATGGGAAATAAGACAAAAAATGATTCCACAAAAATTGTGTAATAATTTTGTAGCTGGTTTCTTTTGTGCCCTAAATTAAACATGTGACAGGATACCTGCCATGCAGCCTTATGCTGACTGCGTGGCAGGGCTTTGGGACAGGCCCCTGTGTGGTCCCAGGTCTGGTCATCAGTCTTGGCCCTGGGATTGCACCAGAGTCTCAAACTTCCCTAGAACAATTCTGGTGCTGAGATCACAATTGGCAGATTGTTGGTCTCAGCCTGGGACTGCACCAGAGTCTCCAACCAGTTCCAGTGTGGTCCTGGAACTGAGACTGACAACCAGTCGATTGTCAGTCCCACCCCCAGGACACACCAGTTCACTGGGCACCCAGCTTTCTACTTGCTGGTGGGAGCTGGGATCATGACCCCAGGCTCCCTACACTGGCAAACAGTAATGGTGCAAGTAGAATCTGATCCCTGATCCCAAAATGATGTGTCCTTCCATGGCAAGAGACACAACTGTTGGGATCATTGCACCATTAAGTGAACAAGTGCAGTGGCCAAAGGACATAATCCTGGCCTTGCATTGTCCCACCTCTTCCTCTATGTTTCTGCAAGGAAACTAAATACACCTATGTAGCAAGATCTCTGGCCCAAGATCCTAAGAGCAGAAAAAATTATTTTGGTCTAGGAAAAATGTTTCTGGACCTTCATCTATGAGAATTTCCATCAGATTCCCAAGGTCCAGTGTGAGGTCTTTCTATTTTGGTCTGTATAACACTAAAAAGACAATTATACATCTTTCTGGATTTTTCTTTGCAAGTTCTTCTGGGCATTGAGCACAATTTGGTTCCTTTATTTAAATCTTGTACAAGATGTCAGATACTCTATCTGAAAATAGGTATTCTTGAATTCAATAAATAAATTCTATTAACTGTGTCTTAAATTTTTGCAAGATGTAAGCAAATTCTCTAGGTACTGAAGTATCAGTTAGGAACTAATTTACCCTTGTAACCATAGAGCTATACGAAACAGCACTGAAAACAAATGCATTTTTTGAATGGTGAAAGAAAATTCACAGTAAGTGGGGCCAATAAAATGACAATAATGTTAACTGTAACATTACATTTTACAACCATACATAGGAACATTGTGTAAAATACTGATTCATTAATGGAGTGAAAGCCATTGTTTCAGAACTAAGATTGCAAATGAGTTTTTATTTAAAGCCAAATTTCAGCCCCATCTTTTACATGCCTCATTTTCAAAAAATATATTTTTTTCTACCAAATATGATGCAATTCAGACAAAGTGATCCTTAATTTTAAGACTTTAAGAATAAAGCTGCTGAATATCATTTTAGTATCTACTGGTCTGTTACTTCTTAGAAAGAAGTAAAAAAAGGAGGAGGAGGAAGAACTTGAAAGGGAGAGAGAAGCAACTGGAATCACCCTTTGTTGAAGCATTGCACCAGGAACAAAAATGGAGCGGATTAAATGCAAATGACCAAAGTCACTATAAAATTCTTTGGCATCTCTGCTAAGGAATATCAGCTCTGGTGTTATTAGTGTAGCTCATTATGTAAATGATGTGATGAAGAATATAAAGAGGAGTAGATTAATGAGCCCTACTACCATCACCACTTCCTGCAGAACTCAGCCAGGCAAGAGGACAGGATGACAAAGCTCCCTTATCGAGACTCTGTCAATCCCCAATCCCAGGGGAAAAATCTGAAAATTGCCCCCCAGGATCCTTATTAAGACCCCATTATTATTGAAGACACACAGCAGTGCTTCATCATGTGCAGCCTTTCACAGTCAGTAAGGTGAACAAACATGCCACCAATATGAAAATGGGCTGCCCTAAGGTTAACATATGGGAGGCAGACAGTTAATGTTACCCTTCTCAAGCAACCCTCTCTCCCTTACCAACTATCCTAACTCTGCAACCCCAGCACTGGCCTAGGGATAAGGCAGAGATACTGCTGGCAGCATTCAGGGCTAACAGGTACTTTTGAGCATAGACCATAACAGCAAGTTTTAGGATCTATAGGCATTTATAGGACCTCATTTCTGAAAGAGCCATCTGTGGAGTCCTGGTGGCAGAATCTGGCCCACTGTGCCTGGGCCACAGAATGGCTTCCTTTTTAAGGCTATCCACATCCACATAAAAGCCTTTTACAGGCTCCTAATCAGACATAAAGCATGCTGAAGAATAATTTGCCACTTCTGATCCTGCAAGATAATTCAGGCATTAGGTGTTCATCGATTTCAACAGGAGCTACGTGCCTAAATACCTTGAAGCACATGAGCCTTAGTGCCTCAGCAGAAGGGCTCAGCAGACTCAGGCCTCGTCAATCCTTGTAGCAGCAATTGCCCATGTCATTAGACACTGGACTAGTGTGTTTCTCTGTCGTTAGACAGAGAGCATGTCTCCATATATAACTCTCAGATGTGCGTCAGAATAGAGCAGAAGTTATTGCAGTGACATATTATCACACTTAGCATCAGAGACATGTATATACGAAACAAATTATTAAATCAATGTTCTGTGGTGCACATCTTTAATACTTTACAGCAGTGGCTGGCAACCTTTTCAAGCTGCAGGCTGGAACAACTGCCTCTGGTGTGACACATGCTGCGTAGCTTCAGTGCCATGTCAGCAACAGGGTGGCTTTCTCTGTACCTGTGTCAGGGCTATGCAGCTGGGAGCTGTGCCCACACCACTGAAACTTCTCCTAGCCCCCCACTGCCTGGCTACAACGTCAGCACAGCATCCAACCGAGGGGGAGCTGTACTGGAACTAGGGCTGGGCTGCATCCACACTCCCGCTGCTTCTCCCTGTACCCCCGCACCCCTGCCTCCCGATTGTGGTGGAGACACTGCTGGAAGCTGTCTGGCCACAGTGCAACTTCCCACTGGCTGGAAATTGTGCCCATGCTGAAGCTGGTGGGGGAGGGGGAGGGGGAGGAGGGGAGAGGGACAAACAGTGGTGGTGTGGGCACAGCTCAAAGTTTCCCAGCCCTAACGTATGCACAAGCACAGACAAAGCCCTCTGGCTCTGTAGGCTGGATACAGCTCATGGGCCTTATGCTACCAACCCCTGCTCTACAGGGAGGCTGGCATCACCATGGATTGGAGTCAAGATTGCCTGGATGCCCTGTTTAAGAAGTTCTGGGTTTCTAATAATGGAGGGTTTATTCTGTTTAATTATGCTATTCTTGGAATGCAATGCATATTCAAACTGCTAAAACATGGCTGTAATCTGAACGTAATGAAGGCTTTATGTGGGAATATTCCATGAAAAATGACTTATTTGATTATGCATACTTTAATTAAAACAAAGCAACTGTTTATGGAGGATTATTTTTTTTAATTGCCAGCAAATTGTATATCCCCATCTTTCCCACAAAACTAGGCCATTTTCATTCACACACATGCATTACTATAATCCAGAGAAACCTAATGATATGGGTAGAAATATTCATGCTTTGTGAGCTAAGGTTCCTAATGCAGTATTTACATGTATTTTCCTTTAAGCTTTCATCTGCCACTTTGATGAATTACCTACCGAAAGGCACTAAGGTGAACTTGCTGCTCTAGCACCATGCTTGGGAAAGCAAGATGAAGTGCTAATGAGGTTAAAGAAAATGTAGTCAGCACCAATGTTAACTCATATAAGTTGGAATATTTACATAGCAAGACATTTTCACCTAAAACAATCTCTGCTGCTTTCTTGCCTACTGAGCTACAACTTATTTGTTTCTTTTGAAAATCTGCCAAAAAACCCATCAATTGTAAGGAAACATGGGCAACCATCACTGAAGCCATGAAAACTTTTTTTTTAAGAGAGAA